GCGTCCAAAGCCGGTTTCCAGGCCTTCACACAGCTCCCGAAGTACGGCTCGTCCCACACCTCTGCTGCAGAGATGCACAAACACCAACTATCTGCATTCACACACCAGATCAATCCGTCTGTATTGCGTTTAGATGATTTAGATTAATGCAGTATTGAGCAGAGACAGCTATAATCGTGTGTTTAGTCGGATCGACTCCTGCTTTATTATTCACCGTATCCTCTCGGTTCACACTCACGTTGCCCTTCTCTGTATCTGCACATTTTTGTCTGGGCTGTAATGAAACCCCTCTGTTGTCCTAAGGTCTGGTCCCATGGGTGGACTCGAACCTGCAATGTAAATATTATCCATATATCTCAGTGTACCCTTTCTTTCTCTCATCCGTCCATCTGTCTCTCCATCGGCCTTCCTATCTGAAACCATTTTAAGGAAATCCACATCTGTCTTGCTGTTTTACATTTCCCCTTTTTAAATGCTTTACACCTGTTTTCTTCTCTTTCTCTCAACTGTCATGAAACTGTCATAAATCTATTGTGTTTCTCTGGGTCACTGAGATGTATGAATGGACTAGTTGTGTTCCTGTCATCTATTTATACATCTACAATTCATTCAGTATTTGTTTAGAACCATGCAAATATTGAATGGACTACCAGAAATATCTCTCTCTCTCTCTCTCTCTCTCTCTCTCTCTCTCTCTCTCTCTCTATCTATACTATATTGCCAAAAGTATTGGGACACCCCTCCAAATCATTGAATTCAGGTGTTCAACTCACTTCCATGGCCACAGTTGTATTAATTAAGCACTAGGCATGCAAACGCTAATACACACATCTGTGAAAGAATGGGTAACTCTCAAGAGCTCAGTGAACTTACACGTTGGACCGTGATTGGTTGCCACCTGTGCAATAAGTCCATTTGGGAAATTTTCTCAATACTAAATATTCCACGGTCAACTGTTAGTGGTATATAACAAAGTGGAAGTAATTGGGAACAACGTTCCCTAAGACCTCTAAACTTCTGTGGCCTTCATATTAGCTCAAGAACAGTGGTGTAAAGTGTGGGGTGCAGTGGTGTAAAGTGTGGGATGCAGTGGCGTAAAGTGTGGGATACAGTGGTGTAAAGTGTGGGATGCAGTGGTGTAAAGTGTGGGATACAGTGGTGTAAAGTGTGGGATGCAGTGGCGTAAAGTGTGGGATACAGTGGTGTAAAAGTGTGGGATGCAGTGGCGTAAAGTGTGGGATGCAGTGGTGTAAAGTGTGGGATACAGTGGTGTAAAGTGTGGGATGCAGTGGTGTAAAGTGTGGAATACAGTGGTGTAAAGTGTGGGATGCAGTGGCGTAAAGTGTGGGATGCAGTGGTGTAAAGTGTGGGATGCAGTGGTGTAAAGTGTGGGATACAGTGGTGTAAAGTGTGGGATGCAGTGGTGTAAAGTGTGGGATACAGTGGTGTAAAGTGTGGGATGCAGTGGTGTAAAGTGTGGGATACAGTGGTGTAAAGTGTGGGATGCAGTGGTGTAAAGTGTGGGATACAGTGGTGTAAAGTGTGGGATGCAGTGGTGTAAAGCGTGGGGTGAAGTGGTGTAAAGTGTGGGGTGCAGTGGTGTAAAGTGTGGGATGCAGTGGTGTAAAGCGTGGGGTGCAGTGGTGTAAAGCGTGGGGTGAAGTGGTGTAAAGCGTGGGGTGCAGTGGCGTAAAGTGTGGGATGCGGTGATGTAAAGCGTGGGATGCAGTGGTGTAAAGCGTGGGATGGTGTAAAGCGTGGGGTGCAGTGGAGTAAAGTGTGGGATGCAGTGATGTAAAGCGTGGGTGCAGTGGCTTAAAGTGTGGGATGCAGTGGTGTAAAGCGTGGATGTGTAAAGCGTGGGATGGTGTAAAGCGTGGGGTGCAGTGGTGTGAAGTGTGGGATGCAGTGATGTAAAGCGTGGAGTGCAGTGGCTTAAAGTGTGGGATGCAGTGGTGTAAAGCGTGGGATGTGTAAAGCGTGGGATGCAGTGGTGTAAAGCGTGGGATGTGTAAAGCGTGGGGTGCAGTGGAGTAAAGTGTGGGATGCAGTGGTGTAAAGCGTGGGATGTGTAAAGCGTGGGGTGCAGTGGTGTAAAGCGTGGGGTGCAGTGGTGTAAAGCGTGGGGTGCAGTGGCTTAAAGTGTGGGATGCAGTGGTGTAAAGCGTGGGATGTGTAAAGCGTGTGGTGCAGTGGCGTAAAGCATGAGATGCAGTGGAGTAAAACGTTGGATGCAGTGGCATTAAGCGTGGGACACAATGGTGTGAAGCATTGGATGCAGTGGCGTAAGCCGTGGGATATGGGGTGCAGTGGAGTAAAGCGTGGGATGCAGTGGCGTAAAGCTTGGTGGGCAGTGGAGACGTTTTCCCTGGAGTGACGAATCATGCTTTCTCTGTCTGTCAATCTGATATATGAGTCTGGGTATGGCAGTTGGCAGAAGATTAACTTCATATTAAAACCTATAGATCAGGAGTGGGATGTCATTAAAGTTAATGTGCATGTAAAGGCAGACGTCCCAAAACTTTTGACAATTTAGTCCACCTATCTATCTTCATTGTTTTATTTTTCTGGGCCATATATAATTTTACAAATATAATATTATAAAAATGTGAATATTATATGTAACATTTTTTTTGTCTTTGTCAATTTCTTGATTTTTCTGTTGCAGGTTCAGAGAGAAGTTGGGAGTAAAAACTGTAAAAGCTCTGAAGAGGAACAACAACGGTGTAACGCACGCAGCCATAGACATGCTCTGTGCTCTTATGTGTGTAAGTATGATGTTTAAAGCGTGACAAATTGACATTAATGCGCAGATCGTGACGTGTGTTTCTGCAGCCGATGCACGATGATTACGACCTGCGGCAGGAGCAGCTGAATAAGGCCTCTCTGCTCTCCTCAAAGAAGTTCCTGGAAAACCTGCTGGAGAAGTTCATCAGCAATGTGGTGAGTGAGTGTGAGAGAGAGTGAGTGAGAGAGAGAGAGAGTCAGTGTGAGAGAGAGAGTGAGAGAGAGAGAGTGTCAGTGAGTGAATGTGTCATTGAGCACTTGACTCAGTTTATGTGTGTCCTCAGGATCAGGGCACCGGGGCGTTAGTGATCAGCTCTCTGCTGGATTTCCTGACCTTTGCCCTCTGCGCACCGTACAGCGAGACCACGGAGGGCCAGCAGTTTGACATGTTGCTGGAGATGGCGGCGTCACACGGGCGCACGCTCTTCAAGCTCTTCCAGGTCTGGAGCTGCAGCTTTCATACACACTAATGTCTCTATGGCTCAGAGTTCAGGGTTCAGAAGATGTGTTCATGTTTCTGAAAGAGTCTCTTCTGCTCATAGCTGTGTTTATTTGATCAAAAATAGAGTAAAAAACAGTCTTGAAAACAGATTTCTGTGGAAACTGATACATTTTATGGTTTCTTTGATGAATAGAAAGTTGAAAAGAACTGCATTTATTGTCACTTTTGGTCTATTTAATGCGCCCTTGATGTGTATATTTTTGTTTCTCCACAGCATCCCTCCATGGCCATCGTGAAAGGAGCCGGTCTGATCATGAAGGCCATCATTGAGGTGAGACCTGCAGTTCTTGTCGCGTGTTTGTCTGTGTTCCCTATAAGTCTATTTAAGTGTTTGTGTGTGTGTCAGGAAGGAGATAAGGAGATTGCCACTAAGATGCAGGATCTGGCCCTGAGCGAAGGAGCTTTACCCAGACACCTCCACACCTCCATGTTCACCGTCAGTGCTGACCAGCGGATGCTCACCAACAGGTCAGGTCATCACAGTCCACTACAGGCGATTACTGACCTCTTACATCATCACAGTTACACTGCAGGACATCACAGTTACACTGCAGGACATCACAGTTACAGTTACACTGCAGGACATCACAGTTACACTGCAGGATATCACAGTTACACTGCAGGATATCACAGTTACACTGCAGGATATCACAGTTACACTGCAGGACATCACAGTTACACTGCAGGACATCACAGTTACAGTTACACTGCAGGACATCACAGTTACACTGCAGGATATCACAGTTACACTGCAGGATATCACAGTTACACTACAGGACATCACAGTTACACTGCAGGACAGCACAGTTACAGTTACACTGCAGGACATCACAGTTACACTGTAGGACAGCACAGTTACAGTTACACTGCAGGACTTCACAGTTACACTGCAGGATATCACAGTTAAAGTTACACTGCAGGACTTCACAGTTACACTGCAGGACTTCACAGTTACAGTTACACTGCAGGACATCACAGTTATACTGCAGGATATCACAGTTACACTGCAGGATATCACAGTTACACTGCAGGACTTCACAGTTACACTGCAGGACTTCACAGTTACACTGCAGGACATCACAGTTACAGTTACACTGCAGGACATCACAGTTACACTGCAGGATATCACAGTTACAGTTACACTGCAGGACTTCACAGTTACACTGCAGGACTTCACAGTTACAGTTACACTGCAGGACATCACAGTTACACTGCAGAATATCACAGTTACACTGCAGGATATCACAGTTACACTGCAGGATATCACAGTTACAGTTACACTGCAGGACTTCACAGTTACACTGCAGGACTTCACAGTTACACTGCAGGATATCACAGTTACACTGCAGGACATCACAGTTACACTGCAGGATATCACAGTTACACTGCAGGACATCACAGTTACACTGCAGGATATCACAGTTACAGTTACACTGCAGGACTTCACAGTTACACTGCAGGGCATCACAGTTACACTGCAGGACTTCACAGTTACACTGCAGGACATCACAGTTACACTGCAGGACATCACAGTTACACTGCAGGATATCACAGTTACACTGCAGGACATCACAGTTACACTGCAGGATATCACAGTTACACTGCAGGACATCACAGTTACACTGCAGGACATCACAGTTACAGTTACACTGCAGGACTTCACAGTTACACTGCAGGACATCACAGTTACACTGCAGGACTTCACAGTTACACTGCAGGACATCACAGTTACACTGCAGGACTTCACAGTTACACTGCAGGACATCACAGTTACACTGCAGGGCATCACAGTTACAGTTACACTGCAGGACATCACAGTTACAGTTACACTGCAGGACATCACAGTTACAGTTACACTGCAGGACATCACAGTTACACTGCAGGACATCACAGTTACACTGCAGGACATCACAGTTACACTGCAGGGCATCACAGTTACACTGCAGGATATCACAGTTACAGCTACACTGCAGGACATCACAGTTACAGTTACACTGCAGGACATCACAGTTACACTGCAGGGCATCACAGTTACAGTTACACTGCAGGACATCACAGTTACAGTTACACTGCAGGACATCACTGACTTCTTACGCTGATAATCCCCTTTCTCTCACAGACAGCTGAGTCGACATCTGGTGGGCTTGTGGACAGCAGAAAACCCCATTGCCTTGAACCTCCTGAAGAGGATTCTGGTGAGCCGCACGAGTGGTCTACTAGGGCTGTCAAATAACTATTTGAATTTCGAATAGTCAGTGAATTTAAAGAAACCTGCACATTAGAATGCAAAAAAAGTGCATTAGATTTGTTGGTGTGTCGAGAGGCTTGCGAGACATGATGATGACGTCACTGACGCGGTGTGTTTCTGTTAGCTTATCCAGTACAGCGCAGTTGCTAATGTGAGAAAAATAGCGGGAAAAAGTTCTTCCTGCTGACGAAACCCTCTCAGTTGGAGGCAAAAATGGTGCAACGACACACTTGACCAAACCATCGGTCAGAGCTGAGTGTGTGTTTATTAGCTGAAACACTGTCAACAGAAAGCGCTCAGGACTCACTCAGATCAAGACCGTCTGGTGTTCTTGATGACCAGTATGTAGATATAGTGAGTAGAAGTGTTTCTGAATGGCAGCTATTGTCAAGTCACCTTTATTTATATAGTGCTTTTTACAATACAGATTGTATCAAAGCAGCTTTACAGTGATAACATGAAAATAATACAACAAAGTTTGTTTCTAGAAGAAAATTGCGTCATCGTCATGTAGGCGGGTCTTTCGTTTCTGCTATGGCGTGTGGGCGGGGCTATCGTTTCTGCGTGTGGTGTGTGGGCGGGGCTATCGTTTCTGCTATGATGTGTGGGCGGGGCTATCGTTTCTGCTATGGCGTGTGGGCGGGGCTATCGTTTCTGCTATGGCGTGTGGGCGGGGCTATCGTTTCTGCGTGTGGTGTGTGGGCGGGGCTATCGTTTCTGCTATGGCGTGTGGGCGGGTCTTTCGTTTCTGCTATGGCGTGTGGGCGGGGCTATCGTTTCTGCTATGGCGTGTGGGCGGGGCTATCGTTTCTGCGTGTGGTTTGAATAAATATGGGCTGATTGCGTCCGTAAGCTTTAGCTGATTGTCCTGGTTGTCACCGCTGCCGTCGAGCGTGCGCTGAGTCCGTGGAGAATAATCCCACAACTAAGTGCAAACTGCCATTTAGATCTGCCTTTGTTAACCACGCCTAACTTCCAATGATCCAATCAATTCCTGATGGATGAAATCAAGCCCCGCCCTACATTATTTTTGATCATTTCAGATGCTGTTTTACTCAGATATACATCACCATACGGGAAAAAGGGACAACTGGAACTTCCGTTTCATGGCGACTTTAAGGACAATTATTTCTAAAGTTAAACCTTTTTTAAAAGTGAATGTCATTTCAATAAAATATGCAATAGTTGATTTGGTTTATATTCGGTTATTGCGATCGCTTGAGCCCTTTTGTGGACAAAGGAGACAATACAGCACTCTTATCCTCTCACATTAAAGGGGACATATCAGGAAAATCTGACTTTCTTCAGAAAAGGTGAAAACTGAAACCCAGTATCTCTGTTCTGGTGAGTCTTTCTCTGAGAGCATGTCTGAAGATTTCGAGGATCTTATAATAATATCCCGGCCCTTAATCTGCACATTCACACACACCAGCGACATTGGCTTCGGTGAGCACCAACAGAGACCAGTTCTAACGTGTTGTCATTGCTGGAGTCTCTAAAGCTTGTGTGAAGGCTCCGCCCTCTTCTGAACGGAGGCGGAGCTAAAGCTCATTTGCATTTAAAGCGACACAAAAAAACTCACACCCAAGTTTCGCTCACACCCAAAAAGGGGCGAATTTGGCAAGCTATAATAACTGGTCTGTGGAGATTCTGCACTGATATTTCTAACACACGCAATAGATTAATAGATTTAAATCTTGTGGAAAGGGGCATAATATGTTATCTATAGGATGCCTTTAGAATTCGAATGTAATTTGAATTTCGCTAATATTTGAGAAATATTTGTTCTTTTCAGCCCTAGTGTGTGCAGTTATGAATAGTTTCTTGTGAAAGTGAAAGCTTGACCTCTGTGTGTGTGTGCTCAGCCCACGGGCCTGCTGGCGTATCTGGACAGCCCCGACCCCGTGCCGGAGAAGGACGTCGACAGGATGCACATACGGGACAATGTCAAGATTGCCACGGTATAATGATCAATGATAACGATGAACAGCTGTTGTTCTCCAATATCCTCTGTCAGTGCGATACGAGCGTGAGTGTGTGTGTGTGTGTGTGTGTGTGCAGGACCAGTTCGGGAGGAACAAGGTGCCCGAGTGGCAGCGGCTGGCAGGTAAGGCGGCGAAAGAGGTGGAGAAGTTCGCCAAGGAGAAGGCGGACCTCGTGCTGGTGCACTGGAGAGACAAGATGGGCATCGCTCAGAAGGAGGTGAGTGACCTCTGACCTCTGGGCTGTTGTGAATGCTAGGCATGTCCACTGCACGAGGCTGGGACTCGCTGGTTCCTCATTTCCCTCAGATGACTCTCTGTCATCTTCCTCCGGCTCTAGAACGGGTGATTAATAATTAACGCTCACTTCTTGACGTGCACTGCTGTGGTTCTGATTGGCCATCTGTCAACTGTGCCTTTCTGTGTCTGAAAAACTGTTTAATTACAGATGCACTGATTTAAAATCTGATTAAATTCTAGCTAATACCAAAAAATCTAATCAATATAAAATAATTAACATTATAAATGTTTATAAAGCTTGAGTTTTAGCGAGTGTTGGACGACAGCAGATGTGATTGGGTAAATGTGCATGATAGATGAATAATTCTGTTCTTTAACAATAACCCGCATGATAACAATATACCGTGCGTCACGTGACCACACCGCCTTCATCGGGTCGGGTGTTGATCCTCTGGCATGAGTGATGTCCTCTAATCTCGGGAGCGATGATGTCACTGATGATGAGCTACACTGATCATTATGTCTCCGCTCTTGAGCCTCCAATCACACAGCTTCATGCATTTGCCTTGTTGAGATCGAACCATTGGTTATGAGCATCTAGTGTTCAGCAGTGTGATTGGTTGACCTCAGGACCAATAACCTCTCTTATCTCTGCCCCCCCACCGGCTCTTATTGGGGTCTCTGCTGTCAATCAATGCAGCAGGACAGGAATAACCTGGTGAGTATTATTATCCAATCAGAGAGCTCTGCCTCTGTTAGACCCTCCCCTCCTCATGTCACATGGGTTTATTCTGCTGTATTACCTCCGTGTCTCTTCTCAGGATCTGTGTGTGTTTATAACAGGATCATAACCTCATATCATGTGCTTTCACTGCTCTAGTGTCTGCCTTACCCTCACACCCCTGTGTCTGTCATCACATGTCGTCGTTGTCTTATAAACACAGTAATGCTGTGGCACTGATTGTAGAACGCCAACCAGAAGCCGGTGATCCTGAGGAAGAGACGGCAGCGGATCAAGATCGAGTCCAACTGGGAGCTGTTCTACTACAGGTACACCAGCTTCATTACCCAGAAGCCCTGATACTCCCACAGCGAGCTCTGTGCCGCTCGCCTCTTAGAGGTAAAAAGACGTTTCCGTGATGAGCTGTTAGCGGAGATCATCGCGATGCTAATCAGCGGCGTTTAAATGAAGATGTGCTGCACTTTCCTCTCAATAACTAAACAAACACAATGAAACAGAGAGTGTGTGTGTGCGCAGGTTACAGTGTGTGTGTGTGTGTGTGTGTGCAGGTTTCAGCAGGATCACGCGCGCTCAAACCTCATCTGGAACCTGAAGACGCGCGAGGAGCTGCGTGACGCGCTGGAGGGGGAGATGCGCTCCTTCAGTGTGGACCGCGAGCTGGGCAGCGCCAGCGTCATCGCCTGGAACCACCAGGAGTTCGAGGTCCGCCCCGCCTCCGCACACTCGAGTCGCTGGAGCGCTGCACGCTAGTGTCTAACGCTGCGCGTCTGTGTTCAGGTGAAGTACGAGTGCCTGTCTGACGAGATCCGGATCGGGGATTATTACCTGCGTCTGCTGCTGGAGGAGGACGAGAGCGACGAGTCCGGCGCCATCAAGAGATCGTACGCGTCTGAACTCTTCCTCACTCATGTTATATCGCCGGTGTCGAGCGGCACCTCGGCCTGGAGTGGGTCGGTTCGGCCGAGGGGTCGAAAGCAGGACTTTTATTTTGACATCTAAAATTTTTCATATTCATTTTCTAATTAATGTAATCTAATTTATCCAACACATGCACATATATTTAAGAAAAAATATGAATTATAGATAAATATATACATATAGACAGTATATACATGCATGTGTGTGTGTTTATATATACAACATAATTCTATACATATTATGTAAACACAAACTTTTATTTTGGATGTGAGTATTTGTTGTGTGTTTGTTTTTGCAATCTTTAGATGAAGTAGTGCGATATGATATATTGATGTGTGTGTGCAGGTATGAGTTCTTCAACGAGCTGTACCACCGGTTCCTGCTGACCCCTAAAGTGGGCATGAAGTGTCTGTGTCTGCAGGCGCTCGCCATCGTCTACAGCAAGTGCTCCGAGGAGATCGGGCCCTTCACAGACACCAAGTACATCGTGGGCATGCTGGACCGGGTCAGTGTGTGTAATGTTCTGCTGTGAACGATGGGGAACTGTGTCAGTCAAACGTCGCCTGATTCAGTGTGTGTGTGTGTGTGTGTGTGTGTGTGTGTGTGTGTGTGTGCTCTCTTCTCCTGTGAATCTCCAGTGTACAGACAAGCTGGAGAGAGACAGACTCATCCTGTTCCTCAACAAACTCATTCTCAACAAGGTGAGCAACATCAACACAAAGCTATACATGCATACATTACATACCCATAATATATATATTGTGTGTGTATATATATATATATATTATTGAAATGATTATTAAAAAAAAATCAGTTTCTATTTATTAATTTTGAAATTAAACAGCTGTCTCACAGTTGTGGAGTCATTTCACCAACAAAAACAAAGCACTTTTGAGCCCACTTTTGAGTGATGTATAAGCTGGTGTAGTTGTGTGTCAGCGGAGAGCTGGAGGGAATATGAGATATGATATGAGATATGATATGAGATATGATCTGAGATATGATCTGAGATATGATCTGTAAATATAGTTTCTCTGCTTCTGTTCTGACAGAAAAATGTGAAGGATATCATGGACTCGAACGGAGTTCGTATATTAGTGGACCTGCTGACGCTCGCTCACCTCCACACCAACAGAGCCACCGTACCCCTGCAGGTGTGTGTGTGTGTGTGTGTATAACACGCTCAATATACACTAGTAGGCAGTAACATTTATTTTTTAAAGAATTTTATCAAAAAATGAAATATATGATGGTTTCCAGGAATATGCAGCAGCACAACTGTTCTCCACACTGAGCATCAGCTGAAAATTCAGCTTTGATCACAGGAATAAATGAGTGTATATTCACCCAGAGAACAGATTGACGTTATAATGATATTTCACAGTGTTTCTGTATTCTGTGTTCCAGAGTAACGTGCTGGAGGCTTCTCCGGATATGAAGCGAGAGAGTGAGAAGGAGTGGTACTTCGGGAACGCAGATAAGGAGAGGAGAGGCCCGTTCAGCTACGAGGAGGTGCTGTATCTCTCAGGAGAGTGTGTGTGACCACCTGCTGACCCCTGACCTCTGACCTGTGACCCGCAGATGCAGGCGTTCTGGCGCACGGGCGAGCTGACGGCGAAGACCCGCTGCTGGGCGCAGGGCATGGAGGGGTGGCGCCCCCTACAGGCCGTCCCGCAGCTGAAGTGGAGCCTGATGGCCACGGGGACGCCCGTGATGAACGAGAGCGACCTGGCCACTCTCATACTCAACATGCTCATCACCATGTGCTCGTACTTCCCCAGCAGGTGCGCACACACACACACACACACACACACACACTCAACATGCTCATCACCATGTGTACTGTAACATGCTGTGCCTACTGTAATGACAGCTTTATGATCTATAATACGAGCTGCTGCTGTGATGTGTGTGTGTGTGTGTGTGTTAGAGACCAGGATAATGCCATCATCCGGCCCTTACCGAAGGTGAAGAGACTCATCAGTGACAACACCTGCCTTCCTCACATTGTCCAGGTACACCGGCCATTGAATGTGCATTTCTTTTCTTTTTTTTAAATGACGAATATTCAAAATGTTTACGTGCCAGTTCAAGTGCAGACGACTGTAACGTTCCTCTCCTGTCATTGGCAGCTGCTCTTGACCTTTGACCCCATCCTGGTGGAGAAAGTGGCCAACCTGCTGTACATGGTGATGCAGGACAACCCCAACCTGCAGCGGCTCTACCTCACCGGGGTCTTCTTCTTCATCATGATGTACACCGGCTCCAACGTGCTGCCCGTCGCCCGGTACACACACACACACACACACACACACACACACACACACACACACACACACACACACACACACACATGAGGAATGATGAATGACATGCTTGTGTTCTGTAGGTTCCTGAAGTACACTCACCTGAAGCAGGCCTTTAAATCAGAGGAGGTAATCTCTCACAGCGTTCAGGATTACAGAGTCACGAACCTGAGAAACACCGTCCGACAGCGCTGATGGTGTGTGTGTGTGTGTGTGTGTGTGTGCAGGCGAAGGGCATGGAGCTGCTGCAGAGGAGTGTGCTGGGCCCGATGCTGCCCGAGGCCATGGTGTGTTACCTGGAGAACTACGAGCCCGAGCGCTTCTCCGAGATCTTCCTGGGGGAGTTCGACACGCCGGAGGCCATCTGGAGCAGCGAGATGAGGTCACACACACACTCACACACACTCACACACACTCCGTATGAATTATGATTCTGTCTTCCACCGATTTAAATCGATTCACTGTTTTCTTCTGTTAGACTTCTTTAACATCGCAGTCCTACTGACAGATACTCACACTTACTGAGGTTATTCACAATGAGCCCGTGACCAAGGTCACACACACAGATGAAGGACACACAGTTTTTAACCACATGTTTAATAAACCTATGCTACTGAACCTGAAAAAGTTAGTTTCTCTATTATATTTATCCTGTTGTTTGAAATTTACTTCTTTGTTTTTGTTTTATATCAAAAATAAAATAAAACTGCCTGCCCTGCTCTAATACAGAAGACTGTGTGTGTTACGATTGCAGTCATCTTAAAGGGCATTTGTTTTATAATATTGGGTTGACTAAAATGGAGAGAAAGTCTAAATACATTTCAAAGTTCACATTTAATTGAGAAGATTGCTATTGCTATTAAACTGTCTATCGCAGTGAAATAAGAAAAGTAACACAAAACGGTAAACTACAATCAAAATGCACATATCGAATCGAAATTTGATTCAAAATTGAGAATCAATTTTAAATTGAATCGTGACCTTAAGAATCGAATAGTGACCTTAAGAATTGAATCGTGGCCTTAAGAATCGAAATGTGACCTTAAGAATTGAATCGTGGCCTTAAGAATCGAAATGTGACCTTAAGAATCAAATCATGACCTTAAGAATCGAAATGTGACCTTAACTCTTTCCCCGCCAAACACGGAATTTTCCGGGTATCCGTGTTTTAGGTGGTATACGGTAAGGAAGACCCGCGCGCATGTCCTGAATGAGTGCGCAACTCTTTGATCAGAGAAACAGATTGCAATCGTCTCAAACAGTGGAGTAGTGAGAATGTATCAGACAGACAATGCAGAGGTATATGGCTGAAGTACTGGAGGTTAATGGACTCGGAGTCCGATCACTCTTTATTTGATAATTCTGAATCTGATCGGGACGAAGTAGTCAGTGAGAGAGATGCACATGTTGTCACCGAAAGTTCTAGCCATGGACGTGCCGCAGATAGATCGTATAATATTATGACACTATAATATGTACACTCACCGGCCACTTTATTAGGTACCCCATGCTAGTAACGGGTTGGACCCCCTTTTGCCTTCAGAACTGCCTCAATTCTTCGTGGCATAGATTCAACAAGGTGCTGGAAGCATTCCTCAGGGAGTTTGGTCCATATTGACATGATGGCATCACACAGTTGCCGCAGATTTGTCGGCTGCACATCCATGATGCGAATCTCCCGTTCCACCACATCCCAAAGATGCTCTATTGGATTGAGATCTGGTGACTGTGGAGGCCATTTGAGTACAGCAAACTCATTGTCATGTTCAAGAAACCAGTCTGAGATGATTCCAGCTTTATGACATGGCGCATTATCCTGCTGAAAGTAGCCATCAGAAGTTGGGTACATTGTGGTCATAAAGGGATGGACATGGTCAGCAACAATACTCAGGTAGGCTGTGGCGTTGCAACGATGCTCAATTGGTACCAAGGGGCCCAAAGAGTGCCAAGAAAATATTCCCCACACCATGACACCACCACCACCAGCCTGAACCGTTGATACAAGGCAGGATGGATCCATGCTTTCATGTTGTAGACGCCAAATTCTGACCCTACCATCCGAATGTCGCAGCAGAAATCGAGACTCATCAGACCAGGCAACGTTTTTCCAATCTTCTATTGTCCAATTTCGATGAGCTTGTGCAAATTGTAGCCTCAGTTTCCTGTTCTTAGCTGAAAGGAGTGGCACCCGGTGTGGTCTTCTGCTGCTGTAGCCCATCTGCCTCAAAGTTCGACGTACTGTGCGTTCAGAGATGCTCTTCTGCCCACCTTGGTTGTAACGGGTGGTTATTTGAGTCACTGTTGCCCTTCTATCAGCTCGAACCAGTCTGGCCATTCTCCTCTGACCTCTGGCATCAACAAGGCATTTCCGCCCACAGAACTGCCGCTCACTGGATGTTTTTTCTTTTTCGGACCATTCTCTGTAAACCCTAGAGATGGTTGTGCGTGAAAATCCCAGTAGATTAGCAGTTTCTGAAATACTCAGACCAGCCCTTCTGGCACCAACAATCATGCCACGTTCAAAGTCACTCAAATCACCTTTCTTCCCCATACTGATGCTCGGTTTGAACTGCAGGAGATTGTCTTGGCCATGTCTACATGCCTAAATGCACTGAGTTGCCGCCATGTGATTGGCTGCTTAGAAATTAAGTGTTAACGAGCAGTTGGACAGGTGTACCTAATAAAGTGGCCGGTGAGTGTATGTGTGTGTGCAGGCATTTATGTGTGGCTGTCTAAATATGAAGGTGTAATTGTCAAATTATTTCTCTCTTTGGGCACATTTACCACATTGTAATATGTATTTGTGTGTGTGTGTGTGTGTGTGTGTGTGTGTGTGTCTGTGTCTGTGTGTGTGTGTCTAGGCCTGTTTATTGTAATTCCAATTATTCATTATTCACAGGTAGAACACAGAGAGGCAGAGGCAGAAGTTTTATTGCAAAAGTTACATTTCCCTTACATCCTGGGAAATTTGATATATTTTACATTTATTTTATGTTTTTAATTTATTTTGGAAAGTTTTATATATGAAGGAAACAACATCTGAATGTATTCTGCTTTTAAATGCACTTGTTTGATAAAAATACCTTTTTCTCAGTTTTTTGTCCAAAATGTTGTGTTTTTGACAAAACCTACCTCTGTTCAATAAGGCAATAAAAAAAGAACAGATGAAGATAAAATAAAAACGTTTTTTTTGCCTAAAAGCAGAGGCTCAGATCTTTATTTTTATATATATCATCTTCATATATTCATGGAAGAAAATATTCAGCGGGGCATTCAAATTTAGCGAAAATCGTCAAAAACCCTGGCGGTGGCTGGCAACTTTTTTTTAAAACGCTGGCGGGGAAAGAGTTAAGAATCAACTCGTGGCCTTGAGAATCGAATCGTGACCTTAAGAATCGAATCGTGACCTTAAGAATCGAATCGTGACCTTAAGAATCGAATCGTCAGGTGCCAGAAATTCCCACCCCTAACAAACTGGTCACACTTTGTGATCAGTGTCTTTAACTGCTGTGTACTAACATTTTAATTAATCATGATACAATGCACTTATTGCATACATATTTTGCACTTGTTCTTGTGTTTAAAAAATAAATTCTATAATTGACATTTTAAACCACCCTTAAACCCATATGCACCAAACCGGTCCTAACCTTCCCAGTATCCAGAGTTTTAAAGACAGCATAACACAATATTTGCAACGTCGATTGTTTGATGCGAGTGCATAGCAGGTAATGGTCCATCATCCTCTGACTCTCTGTGTGCAGGCGTCTGATGATCGAGAAGATCGCGGCTCACCTGGCAGACTTCTCTCCTCGCCTGCAGAGCAACACGCGAGCGCTGTACCAGTACTGCCCGATCCCAGTGGTCAGCTTCCCCCAGCTGGACTACGAGCTCTTCTGCAGCATCTACTACCTGAGGCACCTGTGCGACTCCACACGCTTCCCCAACTGGCCCATCCGAGACCCTGTACGCTCGCCACTTCCCTGCCCCTGTCACGCAGTGTGTGTGTGTGGTTGTGTCTGTCTCATGAGTGTGTGTGTGTGTGTGATGTCGCCCCCTGCAGGTCAAGCTGCTGAAGGACACGCTGGACGCCTGGAAGAGAGAGGTGGAGAAGAAGCCTCCCTCCATGTCTGTGGACGACGCCTACGAAGTGCTCAACCTCCCCAACGGACAGGGACAGTGAGTGCCTCGAGTCTTTCATTATTATTTTACTTTCCACTATATTATTTCTGCCACCAAAACCAGTCCGTTTCCCATTCTGACCTGTAAATGAAAAGGAAGTTGTGCTCGTCTTCTCTCCTCTATTGTGTCGTATATCGAGTAAAACGCTTCTGGAACAATTACACATGTGGGCGGGGCTTGATTGTGTGGAATTGATTGGTTGGTTGTGGTTTGCTATTGGCTGACCTCATGTGAGTGACAGGTTATAGCCCCGCCCACATCATCAGAGAAGAGAAGAGATGCTGAAGATGAACTGATTCTCATTCAACATTATTAACACAATTATGATGATGTGCACACATAAATCATTTACAATAAAATATGATACTGTTATGTAAATGATGCTTTTGTTTGTAATCTTTGTGATCTGATATGAGTTTGTGTGCTTTTTTTCTAAGGCATGACGAGAGTAAAATAAGGAAAGCTTACTTCAGATTGGCTCAAAAATACCATCCAGACAAGAACCCCGAGGGCAGGGTGAGCATTCATCACTCAGTCTGATTATCACTGAACCATGTGAGAGTATAACCACACTGTACAACGTGTGTGTGTGTGTGTGTGTGTGTGTGTTCAGGACATGTTTGAGAAGGTGAACAAAGCCTACGAGTTCTTGTGCAGTAAATCAGCCCGGATCGTGGACGGCCCCGACCCAGAAAACATCATCCTGATCCTGAAGGCCCAGAGTATCCTGTTCAACAGACACAAACAGGGTCAGAACCGCTAACTCCACGCTAAAGGCCCTGATACGCTCACAGACACGATACTCTGCTTATATTCTTTTGTTCAAAAATCAGTTTGGTAAACCCCTTTCAGTGATAAACTATTAGCGAACATCCCGATGCTGCTGAGAGCGGCGTTCAGATCAATATGTGCTGCACTTTCCTCTCAATAACTAAACAAACACAATAAAACTGAGAGAACAGTAGTTCAGAAAGCATCAGATCACTGAGATGTGGATTTTTTATCAGCTCTGAGATTCAGATCTTAAGTCATGTTTATTTATACAGCTTTTATTAATGTGATTTAATGTAATTTATACAGCACTTTATGCAACAGATGCTTTAAAACAGCAGTTTTACAGAATCAAACATGAAAACAGTGTCAGAGTCTCTTTCAGCTTCAGTTTCTCTCAGTGTGTTCATGTTTTTACTTACGACCGACTGAACAAATAAAATGGTTAGTTCACCCAAAAATAAAAATTCTGTCAGTATTTACTCACCCTCATGTTGTTCCAACCCCGTAAGACCTTCGTTCATCTTCAGAACACGAATTAAGATATTTTTGATAATCTGAGTGCTGGATCACTCAGATGAAGACATTGAAGACTTTGTAAAAATAGTCCAAGTGACTACAGTGGCTCAATCTTAAGTTTATCAAACGACAAGAACAGTTTTTGTGCACAAAAAACAACAAAAATAACGACTTTATTTCAACTATTCATTTCCTTCTGACAGAATTTTCTTCTTCAGATTTTTGGTTGAACTATCCCTTTAAACCCACCTATTACATCATCACCACACGGACCAATGGGAGCTCAGAAGTGCTTATCAGCCGGTAGTTTGTGACGTCACACCAGTTAATTCTTCCATGTCTCTTAAAGTATATCGGGGCCTTAAAAAAATCTGATCACATCTTTAGTTCAGATTTCTGATATTCACACAACAAACGAGTGATTTAGATTGAGCTCTCTCTCCTCTTAGAATTGGAGCCGTATAAATATGCCGGCTACCCCATGCTAATTAAGACCATCACCATGGAGACGGGTGACGAGCAGCTCTTCTCCAAAACCGCTCCGCTGTTGCCGGCAGCCGCTGAACTGGCCTTCCATACGGTGAACTGTTCAGCCCTCAACGCCGAGGAGCTGCGGCGGGAGAATGGCATTGAGGTGAGAGAGCAGTTAAAGTGCAGTAAAGCACAGTTAAAGTGCAGTGAAGCACAGTTTAAGTGTGCCGTAGTGCAGTTAAAGTGCAGTTAAAGTGCAGTAAAGCACAGTTAAAGTGCAGTGAAGCACAGTTTAAGCGTGCCGTAGTGCAGTTAAAGTGCAGTGCTGCACAGTAAAGTGCAGTGAAGCTCAGTTAAAGCGGCGCAGTGAAGCACAGTTAAAGCGCAGTAAAGCACAGTAAAGTGCAGTGAAGCTCAGTTAAAGCGCAGTGAAGCACAGTTAAAGCCCGCTGACACACAGTTAAAGCGCAGTGCTGCACAGTTAAAGCGCAGTGAAGCTCAGTTAAAGCACAGTGAAGCTCAGTTAAAGCGCACTGAAGCTCATTTAAAGCGCAGTTAAAGCGCAGTGAAGCACAGTAAAGTGCAGTGAAGCTCAGTTAAAGCGCAGTGCTGCACAGTAAAGTGCAGTGAAGCACAGTTAAAGCGCAGTGAAGCACAGTTAAAGCGCAGTGAAGCACAGTAAAGTGCACTGAAGCTCAGTTAAAGTGCAGTGAAGCTCAGTTAAAGCGCAGTGAAGCACAGTTAAAGCCCGCTGACACACAGTTAAAGCGCACTGAAGCTCAGTTAAAGCGCATTGAAGCACAGTTAAAGCGCAGTGAAGCACAGTAAAGTGCAGTAAAGCACAGTAAAGTGCAGTGAAGCTCAGTTAAAGCGCAGTGAAGCACAGTTAAAGCCCGCTGACACAGTTAAAGCGCACTGAAGCTCAGTTAAAGCGCATTGAAGCACAGTTAAAGCGCAGTGCTGCACAGGAAAGCGCAGTGCTGTACAGTTAAAGCACAGTGAAGCACAGTTAAAGCGCAGTGCTGCACAGGAAAGTGCAGTGCTGTACAGTTAAAGCGCAGTGAAGCACAGTTACCGGCCCTGTGCCTGAGATTGGATGCTAACGCTGTGTATGTGTGCAGATACTGATGGAGGCTCTGTCTCGCTGCGTGGCTGTGCTCACGGCCTCCAGCAAACCTGAGGACATGGCAGTACAGGTGCGTCCACAACCACAGTCAACTATCACTGAGCACATGAAGAGCGAGCTCACAGTGTGTGTGTGTGTGTGTGTGTGTTTCAGGTGTGCGGGCACGTCTGTCGGTGCTATAGCGTCGCTGCTCAGTTCGAGGAGTGCAGGGAGAAAATTGTTGAGCTTCCCAACATTATCAGAGATGTCTGTCACATTCTCTATTACAGCAAGGTAAGAAAACTCATGGCTTTATTGCACAAACATCATGTATGGTCTCAAAGACCATGAAAAGGAATATGGAAACAGAATTATGGAATAGGTATAAACCTTTACAGATGCTAGCTCTTAAAGTGCCCGATCATGCTATTTTAAAGGCTCTTTAATTTGTTTTGTAGTTTCCTTCAACAGGTTTACATGCATCTGAGGTAAAAACAAAAGAAAATTAAATTTTCTCATAATAAACAGTGAACATCCCTTAATTTCTCAGAATCATGAAACGGTTCGTTCGAAGATTGTCTCTCTAAGCCCCGCCTCTCTGAGAGCTGCTCTGCTGTGATTGGTCAGATACGAACAGTTACAATGGGGTGGGTGTTACCAGATCAGTCTCATCAAAGTTGATTTGCTTTGTCAGCAGAAAACAGCGTCTTCTCGACATGAGAAAACACAAACCGAACTCTTCCAGTCTCAGATACACTACAGTGTTTGAGGGCGGGGCTAAGAGATGCTGTTCAGCCAATCAAGACCACAGGCTGACATTATGTAAATGAGTTACACACCTTCAGGTTCAGCAGGAAGTGAGACTGAATTACTGATGACTCGGTTCAGTTCAGAATCACTTCTTTCGTTTAGGAGACAAAAACTCCTTTTATCTACACTTTAATACTTGCAGAGCTTTTACATTCACTGACAGCTTTATTATACACTACATAAAACATATATTTGTAATAAGCATAATAGGGACACATTAAAAGAGCTGTAGTCTACTCATAACGGTTTATTGTTTAAGTTCCGAAAATATATATTACAGATAGGTACTTCACTTAAAATGTTAGTTTGGATTTTTGCTCCAAAATAAATTGTTTTATTAATATAACGAAATTACAGTTGGTTACATGTACCTACTGTAGTAAAAAAAAGCAACTTCTACATAATTACAAGCAACTAAACCAACCCTAACCCTACAGTACGCACATGCTGTTCATAATATTACTCAGATTTGTGTAATTACAGTGCAATAAGGACACCTTAAGATAAAGGGTTACACTTTATTTAAGGTGTCACTGTTAGTGTAATTATACGTTTAACCTGTTAACTGTCACCCCCCCCTTTTTTGAATAGACATGAAAATGCACATTTCGAACTTAAATGGTTGTAATTCAAGAATGCTTTGGAATATAGACATATGATCGGTCTTGTTTTAAAGAAGACATTTGGCAGATTTTTGTAGAAGTGAAATAAATTAAGAAAGTGAAACAGAAAAAAAGTTATTGAAGTTTGAGTTTATGGAAATGTACAATGTAAAAATATTAATTATTCATATTTTACATAAAATATATATTTTCAAAACCTGGGCTACTCTAAAATGGCAGAAAAATCAAAGCCAAAAATCTGAACAAGTTGTGTTTCAAATTTTAGGTTGATATCTCAAAAAATGAGCTTTCAGTAAGATTTTGTTTGAGTGCAGTACCAAACTTTTTCACTAGGGCACAATCAGACTCCATTACTGCCCATATAAGGGCGCCTGCATTTCCATTCGTGTTTTGAGTGATATGAACCATTATTTTCACAATTTTCATACAATTTCTGAAGTAGAGATCCTATTCAGAAGTAGCATGGGAAGTTTGGCAGATTTTGATATGAATTGAACCTCTAAGAAACACATACAAAGAACACGCATGTAAGTCATAGCTAGCTGACACGTCACAAATGGTGAATTTATTATTTTTTTCTTGATATTTCAAACTTTTCAGACCTTTTTTTTCCAAAATAATTGAATGGATTCTATCTTTTGAACTTTTGGCATGAAAACAAACTGAGGTATCTACCATTTTTTTCATGATTTTTCATGTTTACTGCTATTTTAAAACAAAGGTCTGAACACGCCTTATGAGTATGAAAATATTCTTGTTGCATATTGATAAATTATGGCTCCTCTGTAATATATTTTGAAAATCAGTCACCAAATATGGAAACTAGAGATTGTAAGCTTTCAAATGATATATAGTTTGTCAATATTATTTAAGGTATTTACTAAGATATTATTGTTTTAAAAATATAGTGGCAAACGTCCCACCTGTGGGACGGTGACAGTTAAGTAGTACTGAGTAATTAACTAAGTAACTGCATGTACTTACTATAATGTTAGGGTTTGGTTGAGGGTTAGTTGCATGTAATTATGCATAATTTCCTGTTATTACTCTGGTAGGTACATGAAACGTATGTAACAAGAACACTGTAAAATAACAGGGCCTTTTAGACCCTCTTTCTGAGAAATTTAAGTAAGAAGTTGACGTGTTCCCTTATGAAAGTCTTATACCGTGTCTATACCGAATGCGGCAATGTGAACGTTGCAAACCGATTTGCTGTCCGTGTCAGAAGTAGAAGGAGCGCTTGAGGAACGTCAGAAATACAGGAATCAGTTTAGTGTCGACAGCAGCACTGGTTCTAATGCCTTCTTGTAATGGCTCTATAATAATAATATAATATATAATAAAGGTGTCTGCTCTCTCCGTCTCAGGGTCTTCCCCGTCTGGCGTCGGTGGCGGTTCAGTGTGTGAGCTCGTTCGCCGTGGACTTCTTCCTGCAGACGCACCTGTACCAGGCCGGCGTCCTCTGGCACCTGCTAGCGAACCTGTTCTGCTACGACTTCACGCTGGAGGAGAGCGGCGTCCAGGCCAGCCAGGAGAGCAACCAGCAGGAGGTGGCCAACCAACTGGCCAAGCTGAGCCTGCTGGCCCTGGGCCGTCTGGCGGGGTACAGCTCTGCCCGGGAACCAGAGGACGGGCCTGTCGGAGAACCCAACGGAGCCGCCCACCCGCCGGAGAACCCTGCCATCCGCAAGAGCCTGGCCGCCATGCTCACGCCGTACATCTCTCGCAAACTGGGCGGCAACTCCCCGGCCGAGGTGAGCAACTCTAGACAAGCAGGTCATTTTCATGGCACATTGTGGTTTAATTTTAGTCATATTTTAGACATCTGTATTGTTTTAGTCGACGAAATACATTAAGTTTGACTAAATCTGTTTTTAATAAAGTTATCGTCTCTTAATGTGTTAATGAAATTTACACCGAAACCAAACACACAGTCCTGTACAACTGAAGGGCTTCGAAAACGGCTCATCACACTTTAGGGTTGGAGTTTTATAAGATCAACATTCTTATGCGCCTGTTTGTTCATTTGCGGTTCGTGTGTTTTCTCACAATCAGGTTCTGAAGTTGTTGAATAGCAACTCGGAGAACCCGTATCTGATCTGGAACAACGGGACGCGAGCCGAGCTGATGGAGTTCCTGGAGGAGCAGCAGGAGAGCAACATCAAGAGAGTGAGACACACACACACACACACACTCCTCACATTCCCCTGCTGCTTCAGCGCAGTTCATCCTCTGTGTGTGTGTGTGTGTGTGTGTGTAGGGCGAGTGTGATAAGAACTTCGGATCAGAGTTCTTGTTCACTGAACACGGGAAGGAGCTGATCGTGGGAGAGATCTTCATCCGGGTCTATAACGAGCAGCCTACGTTTCCCCTGGAGGTGAGAGAGCGTTACTGCTCCTGAGTCTCTCTGCTCACAAACAGCATTTATTTTACACACAGTCTTTTGTAACTTTATAAATGTTCACTTCTGATCAATTTAATGAGTCCTTGATGAGTGGCAGAATTAATTTCCAAACATCTGTGTTGAGCGCTGTTCTCTCTCTCGTCAGTATCCAAAGGCGCTGGCGTCGAGTCTGCTGGATTACGTGGGCTCTCAGGCGCAGTACCTGCACACACTCCTGGCCATGACCCAGGCCAGTAAAGTGGAGTCGCAGCATCACGCTCAGAGACTGCGCTGGGCCGAGATGGCTCTCGAAGCGCTCCGTAACGTCATCAGGAACAACACAGGTGCTCGAGCGAGGAGGATCTCTGTGACGGTTCCTGTCGGATCAGTGTGTTTAACCTGTGTGTGTGTGTGTGTGTGTGTGTGGCTCTGCAGGCTCTGAGACCGAGTGCATCGGACACTTCAAGCTGCTCTTCTCTCTGCTGAGGGTTCACGGCGCCGGGAAGGTCCAACAGCTCGCTCTGGAGGTGTGTATGTCCTGCAACACACACGTCTCACACCGCTGGGATTAGCCCGTCTCTGTTCTCATCTGCGTGTGCTTTAACTGTAGGTGGTGAACACTGTCACGTCAAACCAGGACTGTGTCATCAACATCGCAGAATCACTGGTTCTTCCCAATCTGCTGGTGCTGCTGCACTCCTTACCCTCCAGTAAGACTTCTGAAACATTCAAAGACTCCACATCGACATAGACGACTCGGCTTAGACTGGACAGTCTTGTCATAGACTCGTCATAGATCATATACTCGACATATACTCGACATAGACTCAACATGGACGAATCGACATAGATTATATACTCAACGTATACTCGACATAGACTCGACATAGACGACTCGACATAGATGACTCGACATAGATTATATACTCAACATATACTCGACATAGTCTCGACATAGACGACTCGACATGGACGACTCGACATAGATGACTCGACATAGATTATATACTCAACATATACTCAACATAGACTTAACAGACGACTCGGCATAGACTGGACAGTTTTGTCATAGACTCGTCATAGATCATATACTCGACTTAGACTCAACATAGATGACTCGACATAGATTATATACTCAAGATATACTCGACATAGTCTCGACATAGACGACTCAACATGGACTCGACAGTTCGTCATAGACTCGGCATAGATCATATACTCAACATAGACTCGACAGTCTTGACATAGACAAATGCGCAGACTCGTCATACACTCAACATACACTTGACAGAGATGACATAGACACGACATAGACTTGACCGTCTCGACATAAACCTGACAGACTCGACATAGATTTGACATAGAAAACAGAGAAAAATATGAAGGAATATTTTTTAATAAAATATATCTCTATAACTATGGTAAATATTTTGTGTATTTCAATTGTATTTCAAATATGAAATATTAAAATGTATTTATTCCTGAAAGCCATGACTGTGCTCCTGTCCGAGTGACTGATGTTTCTTCTCTCTTCAGGCCGACAGCTGGTCCTGGAGACGCTCTACGCTCTGACCTCCAACACTAAGATCATCACAGAGGCCATGAACAAAGGTCAGCGTGTCACATTATTTCCTGTAGTAAGACCCCAATAGCAGATTTCCTCTGTGAATCCCTTAGATGGTTTAGTCACTGCAGCTGTGTGTGACCTCTGACCTCTCTCCCCTCAGGTGCGCTGATCTACCTGTTAGATCTGTTCTGTAACTCCACCCACCCTCAGGTACGCACACAGACTGCAGAGCTCTTCTCCAAAATGACCTCAGACAAGCTGGTGGGACCCAAGGTGAGACTGTGTGTGTGTGTGTGTGTGTGTGTGTGTGGAAAGTTTAGTGTAGGATCTGCACTGCTTCCTTCTCCTGTGTTCCTGATCATAGATGTGTTTATTACCCATAACTCCCTGCCTGCACTGAGTGTCGAGGGTTTCCCACAGGTGCGTCTGACCCTGGTGCGCTTCTTGCCGGCCGTGTTCATGGACGCCATGCGGGACAATCCCGAGGCGGCTGTGCACATATTCGAGGGAACGCACGAGAACCCGGAGCTCATCTGGAACGACAGCTCGAGAGAGACTGTCTCCACCACCGTCCGAGAGATGATGCTGGAGTGAGTTATCCTACATCACACTATCCTCATTCCCTGATCACTCCTGCTCATTTACTCTTCCTCCTTTTCTCAGGCATTTTAAGCAGCAGAAAGACAATCCTGATGTCAACTGGAAGGTGAGGAGTTTTTTGGTGTCAGAATTTAGTCTTACAGTCTTGGATTATCATTTTTTCTGATAATTTATTTTGTGTGCGTCTCAGCTGCCGGAGGAGTTCTCTGTGGCGTACGGAGCGGGACAGGGAGAGCTGGAGGTCGGAGGAGTGTTTCTGCGCATCTTCATTGCTCAGCCTGGATGGGTTCTGCGGAAGCCCAGAGAGTTCCTGGTGTCGTTGATGGACACTCTGACGGCCCTGCTGGAGAAGAACAACCCCAGTGTGAGTGTGACTACAGAGATGGGTGTGTGTATGGGTGTGTTCTTCTGACGGGTGTGTGCATGGGTGTGTTGTCTTGACGGGTTTGTCCCCCTGACGGTGTGTGTATGGGTATGTTCTCATGACGGGTGTGTGTTCTCCTCAGGGCGAGGCACTGGAGACGGTCACCACCGCAGCAGTGTGTCTCTTCAGCACACACACTCAGTTAGCGGATCAGGTGCCTCCTCTCGGGCATCTCCCGCGGGTGCTGACGGCGCTCGCCCACAAGAACAACGCTGTGCCCAAGAGTGCCATCAGACTCATACACGTGCTATCAGACAATGAGGTGCTGCACACACACACACACACACTCTCTCACATGCACACAAGCTCACACACACACATGCTCACACTCTCATACACACGCTCACAGTATCTCTCTCTTACACACACACACACACACTTACTGTTATTGTCAGAAACGGAAGCTTGTTTCTGCCACGCAATACATAAATAAAGGTTATTGAGACTTTTTATATGACAATTCTAAATTCTTGCAATTGCAAGTTTATGACAGGGAATTTTTCTTATTCTATGACGGAAATAAGTCGGAAACAAGTATATTATAAATAGTTCTAATAATATACTACATAGTATACTAATGTACTATTTCTATATCAAGTAATTTTAAATAAGTACTAAGTGCTGAGTAATAGGGTTGCCGCGGTGAGGAAAATTTCCCACCGGTTAATCGACGTGTGACAACACCGGTAATCCCGGTGTCACCGTGGGGGGCAGGGCGGGGGGGTTAAATAGCTTTTAAATGCGTGCGCGTTATACTTTCACTTTCGAAATAAGCGTCAATTGCTTGAATGGACAAAAAAAAAAACAACTCGCTGATAATAAAACTTTTATTTATAGACTTTTATTAGCATAACGAACGAATAAAAATAACCCCATGCATAGGCTGAAAAAGGTGAAAATCGGCAAACTGTGGGCCCAAAAAAAAAAATAAAACGTTTATTAACGAATAAGAAAACAAAATAGGCCTAAATAAATTAAACAAAGTTTAAATAAGATAAAACCAAATAAAAAGAGACGAATATAAAATAAAAACTTTAAAAAGGACCTTAGCCTACATAAATGACAGCACTCTAAAAAAAAGTAAAACACTATAAATTGGCATTTATTAACATTAATATATATTGGCCAAAATATTGCCAAACAGGCACTTTTGCATTGCGTTTTGACACCAAATCTTCCTCCATTATCTTGCTTTTCTGTAATTTGACTCGTTCTCGTCTCCACACGTGCTAAATGGAATCCTGATGCTTGCTGATCTGTGACGTGACGGCACGCGTTGCGCAGTTCATTTTTCTAATTATAATGCTCTCTTCAGAACTAAATAATTGAAAATTATTATTTTTAATTAATTCAAATAAATATTTTAGCAAAAACGAATACTTTAAAAAAAAAAAGTCAAGACATCGCGGTGTCACGGTGGGAAAGTGATGTCACCGGTGATGGGGCTTAAAACCGGTAACACCGTCAACACCGTCTATCGCGGCAAGCCTACTGAGTAAGTGATGTGTGTGTTGCTACAGCTGTGTGTGTGTGTGTATAATAAGTGTGTGTGTGTTGCTGCAGCTGTGTGTGTGTGTGTATAATAAGTGTGTGTGTGTTGCTGCAGTTGTGTGTGTGTGTGTATAATAAGTGTGTGTGTGTTGCTGCAGTTGTGTGTGTGTGTGTATAATAAGTGTGTGTGTGTTGCTACAGCTGTGTGTGTGTGTGTATAATAAGTGTGTGTGTGTTGCTGCAGCTGTGTGTGTGTGTGTATAATAAGTGTGTGTGTGTTGCTGCAGTTGTGTGTGTGTGTGTATAATAAGTGTGTGTGTGTTGCTGCAGTTGTGTGTGTGTGTGTATAATAAGTGTGTGTGTGTTGCTACAGCTGTGTGTGTGTGTGTATAATAAGTGTGTGTGTGTTGCTGCAGTTGTGTGTGTGTGTGTATAATAAGTGTGTGTGTGTTGCTACAGCTGTGTGTGTGTGTGTATAATAAGTGTGTGTGTGTTGCTGCAGTTGTGTGTGTGTGTATAATAAGTGTGTGTTGCTGCAGTTGTGTGTGTGTGTGTGTGTATAATACGTGTGTGTGTGTTGCTACAGCTGTGTGTATGTGTGTGTATAATAAGTGTGTGTGTGTTGCTGCAGTTGTGTGTGTGTATAATAAGTGTGTGTTGCTGCAGTTGTGTGTGTGTGTGTATAATAAGTGTGTGTGTGTTGCTACAGCTGTGTGTGTGTGTATAATACGTGTGTGTGTGTGTTGCTACAGCTGTGTGTGTGTGTGTGTATAATAAGTGATGTGTGTGTTGCTACAGCTGTGTGTGTGTGTGTATAATACGTGTGTGTGTGTTGCTGCAGTTGTGTGTGTGTGTGTGTGTATAATAAGTGTGTGTGTGTTGCTGCAGTTGTGTGTGTGTATAATAAGTGTGTGTTGCTGCAGTTGTGTGTGTATAATAAGTGATGTGTGTGTTGCTACAGCTGTGTGTGTGTGTGTATAATACGTGTGTGTGTGTTGCTACAGCTGTGTCTGTGTGTGTGTATAATACGTGTGTGTGTGTTGCTGCAGTTGTGTGTGTGTATAATAAGTGTGTGTTGCTGCAGTTGTGTGTGTATAATAAGTGATGTGTGTGTTGCTACAGCTGTGTGTGTGTGTGTATAATACGTGTGTGTGTGTTGCTACAGCTGTGTCTGTGTGTGTGTATAATAAGTGATGTGTGTGTTGCTACAGCTGTGTGTGTGTGTGTGTATAATACGTGTGTGTGTGTTGCTGCAGTTGTGTGTGTGTGTGTATAATAAGTGTGTGTGTGTTGCTGCAGTTGTGTGTGTGTATAATAAGTGTGTGTTGCTGCAGTTGTGTGTGTATAATAAGTGATGTGTGTGTTGCTACAGCTGTGTGTGTGTGTGTATAATAGGTGTGTGTGTGTTGCTACAGCTGTGTGTGTGTGTGTGTATAATACGTGTGTGTGTGTTGCTGCAGTTGTGTGTGTGTGTGTGTGTGTGTGTATAATAAGTGTGTGTGTGTTGCTGCAGTTGTGTGTGTGTATAATAAGTGTGTGTTGCTACAGCTGTGTGTGTGTGTGTATAATAAGTGATGTGTGTGTTGCTACAGCTGTGTGTGTGTGTGTGTATAATAAGTGTGTGTGTGTTGCTGCAGTTGTGTGTGTGTATAATAAGTGTGTGTTGCTGCAGTTGTGTGTGTATAATAAGTGATGTGTGTGTTGCTACAGCTGTGTGTGTGTGTGTGTATAATAAGTGTGTGTGTGTTGCTGCAGTTGTGTGTGTGTATAATAAGTGTGTGTTGCTGCAGTTGTGTGTGTATAATAAGTGATGTGTGTGTTGCTACAGCTGTGTGTGTGTGTGTATAATACGTGTGTGTGTGTGTTGCTACAGCTGTGTGTGTGTGTGTATAATACGTGTGTGTGTGTTGCTGCAGTTGTGTGTGTGTGTGTATAATAAGTGTGTGTGTGTTGCTGCAGTTGTGTGTGTGTATAATAAGTGTGTGTTGCTGCAGTTGTGTGTGTGTGTGTATAATAAGTGTGTGTGTGTTGCTGCAGTTGTGTGTGTGTATAATAAGTGTGTGTTGCTGCAGTTGTGTGTGTATAATAAGTGATGTGTGTGTTGCTACAGCTGTGTGTGTGTGTGTATAATAGGTGTGTGTGTGTTGCTACAGCTGTGTGTGTGTGTGTGTATAATACGTGTGTGTGTGTTGCTGCAGTTGTGTGTGTGTGTGTGTGTATAATAAGTGTGTGTGTGTTGCTGCAGTTGTGTGTGTGTATAATAAGTGTGTGTTGCTACAGCTGTGTGTGTGTGTGTATAATAAGTGATGTGTGTGTTGCTACAGCTGTGTGTGTGTGTGTATAATAAGTGTGTGTGTGTTGCTGCAGTTGTGTGTGTGTGTATAATAAGTGTGTGTGTGTTGCTGCAGTTGTGTGTGTGTGTATAATAAGTGTGTGTTGCTGCAGTTGTGTGTGTATAATAAGTGATGTGTGTGTTGCTACAGCTGTGTGTGTGTGTGTGTATAATACGTGTGTGTGTGTTGCTGCAGTTGTGTGTGTGTATAATAAGTGTGTGTTGCTGCAGTTGTGTGTGCGCTCCATGGCGGCTCTGGAGGCCATCGGGCCGCTGATGACGGGGATGAAGCTCAGGGCTGATATGGCAGGACTGGCCTGTGAGGCTCTGAACCGCATGTTCCAGCGAGAACAGAACGAGCTTGTGTCTCAGGTGACTCTCACACACACACACACACACACAGGTGACGAGAACAGTCTCACACTCTTCATCACAGCTACAGGACGGCTCAGCATCTGAAAACACACTACTATATCTATGCATATATAATATTAATAGTAATAATAATTAGGGAGGCACAGATACCACTTTTTCCAGATCGAGGCCGATACGATATCTGTATTTTTACTGCATTTGTAATTTTTTAAAAATATATTAGGTAGAGAAACCAAAAGAATAAGAATCATATTTGTTGATTTGTTTAGCAAGTTATTTTCATGCTTAATTTACCCTGTTGTTGAAATGTATTGAACAAGTTTCTGTTGCTTTATCTGTTCATTTTAAGGGTTTGGTATCGTTTGAAATTTAACAATTCCAATTTCGATTCTGCTTATCGATTCCTCCTATCGATTCCTCGGCTGCTGGGCAGCTACTTAAGATGTGCTCTAGGGAACCGCTCCCACGGCACAGAGGACATGCTGGTGACTCATTCCTACCGCAGATGTGGAGATTTGCTGGGCTAGGATTGACATCATAGACTGCTCGGACCAAGAACTTGATCTGCTGTGGATCTGCCTCCCAGATCTTGGTCCAAGAGACGTACCCTCCCACCACATCCATGCTCCCTGCTGCCAAACAAAGCCTGTGTCTCGGCCGGGACTCTAGTATCTCTAGGCCTTCCTGTGCTCTCCGCTTCCTCCTACCTGTCCGCACCGTGATGCCTGCTGATGCTTCCCTCAGGCCTTAGAGTCTCGATAGAGTAGTGCCTCTCTGATGCGAGAGACCTTAAACTCCTCATTGAGGCTGTTAAACTGGAACTCCCTGGTGCTACAGTCAGACACTACAAAAATTCATGGCAAGGGCAAAGAGAATAACTGAGATTGTGCACCCAGTTATAATCCCCTTTTCAAGCAGGTGCCATTCTGATGTTAAAGGGCACCTATTATGGAAAATTCACTTTTACATGGTGTTTGAACATAAATGTGTGTCGGCAGTGTGTGAGCAAAACCACCCTAGAATGATAAAAATCCACCCAGTGTTTTTTTTTTACAATCTCAATAAATCATGTGCACTGTCTCAGAACGAGCTGTTCTAAGATTCAGCTCTTTGTGACGTAGAAAGTGAGAAAGGGGTTTGATTGACAGTGTGGTTGTGGCCTAGACCCCGCCCTCTGTGATCTGTACACACATCCTCCATTGTTTCAACGACAGCCGGTAATGTCTCTTGGAAACATAAATGTTCTGTCGTGGGTTAATCCTGTTGTTGTGGCTTAAAAGTTAATCCTCAACTGTGGATCGTCGTCTACTGTTTGCGATCCACCGTCACCTCTAGTAACAATAAGTGTATTTTATGATTTTTGAGCAAATAGTCTTTTCAGTCAATGTCAGCCAATTCAACAACAAATGCGTCTAAAGTTGTTGTCGTCGTAGGATGTCTGTGTAGGCTATATAATTTAAACCTTGTTTGTATAGTGTGTAACCACAAGTTTATATATATTTAAAGATATTATATTAAAAACTGCATATATGTTGTTGTTCTGTAAGTTAGCCATCTCCTCACATTTGCCACAGAAGCACCCGTATGACAAGTAAACATGACGCCACAGGTCCCTTGCATAAATGTAATTTCGCTTGTAGTAGCAAACTTCACAGTATGTGTATGTAATTTAAAAAAAAATTGCGCCAGCATTAGTGTTTGTGTGTATCTGTGTGTGTGTTGCACATGCCCATCATTTCAAAGGGGACGCGATTACAACGCTATAAGTACATAAATGTATCAAATATCCATACCGAGACGTACTGGTCCATTCTCATTTATGTTTATTCTGCCGGAGTCTCTTCGTACTATTTATATATTCCGATTCAAACGTACGGCTGAATGACATTCAAAACAGCGCGTCTCTCACTCTCTCAGTACCGACTGCCATAGGTATCAAGTTATGCCCTCATCCAAAGGCAGGGCGGGGATATGCAGCTCATTTGCATTTAAGGTCGTATACCCCAGAAACAGCTCATTTTTAAGCAGGCCCCAAAATGACATTTTCAAATGGTTATAATAAATTAACTGTGGGGTATTTTGAGCTGAAACTTCACAAATACATTCTAGGGACACCAGAGACCAATATTACATCTTGTAAAAAGGGGCATAATAGGTGCCCTTTAAGTTCTCCGAAGTGATTCTAAGCCTGAAGTTCCTGTAGTAGTTCAGGATGAGGTCCTTTACCTTACTAGGTGCGTGGTGGCGATCCAGGGTTGTCTCAACAAGCTTGTGGGGAATGGAGCCATATGTGTTGGCAAGGTCAAAGCCAAACCACTACTATTTCTCCCTTTCCTTTGCGAGCTTCTCTGATCAGCTGCGTGACAACCCAAGTGTGTTTTAAGGAGAACGTTGTTGCACAGAGGTGTCGATAATGTGACCATTCTTGAGGACGTCAGTCTGTCATCCGTCGGGCTAGAACACTGAAGAAGATATTCCCCTCCAAGCTGAGAAGCGAGATGGATCTGAACTGCTCCAGTTTGGTTGAGTCTTCCTCCTTCGGGATCCAGATGTGTGCCTCCACTCATCTGCTACTGTGCCCCTACGCCACACTACTCCCAAGATCTTCCATAGGATCTTGAGGAGCTCAGGCAACGCTTATACACCTTGTAGGAGGTGTATAAGCCTCTGGCTGCTCAAACGTGCCGTACTCTCCTCACTGTGGGCTCTCTGATGTTGAAGTCCACCATGGGAGATAGTACCTCCAACAGGGCTCAGAGGAGCCCTAGTTCTTGCTCCCTGTCAGGGTCACTCAGGATGTTGTGCAAGTACCCTCCCCCAGGTGACCCAGCCAGGGTTGGTCAGCAGCACTGGCCCACAGATCGACCCTAACCCTGAGCCACAGCCATCTGGAGGCCCATTCTGCCGCCTCCATAGCGAACTTAAAATAACACTTCTTTATAAATAAAATATTCATTACAAATATAGTTGCAAAAGTTATTCGAGTAGAAATGAGCCTTTTTGTTTGATTAGTGTTATAGAGACGGCAGCAGGAATATTAGCCTGCTGTCACTTTAAGAGCTGCACGGATCCAATATACTGTTATAGACGCCTTGTTGCACAGAAAACAGAGTCGTCTCTCGCTTGAATGGTTTAGTCGTATTGAAATGCCAACAAAGTAATCGATAGGAGGAATTGAAATTGAATTTTTATAACAAGTAACCAATTCCTGACCTGAAGTATTCGATTCCAGAATTGCAAACTATTTTCGATTCCCAACCCTATTCATTCTATTGCTCTCTCATATGTTATCTTTCATTTAACAGTACAGCGCATATTTAGAGTTATTAATGTGCGTGTGTGTTCAGGCTCTTAGAGTGGACCTGGTGCCGTATCTTCTCAAGCTGTTGGAGGGCATCGGGTTGGAGACTCTTGAAAACCCTTCTGCAACCAAAGCTCAGATCGTCAAAGCGCTGAAGTCCATGACCCGCAGCCTGCAGTTCGGAGAGCAGGTATAATCGTCATCATCCTCCTTCAGCAGGTCTTTACACTGAGCCCCACTGTCAGAACACAACTCATGCTGTGCTTCTGCTACAGGTCAATGAAATCCTGTCTCGTTCCACTGTGTGGAGTGCCTTCAAAGACCAGAAACACGACCTCTTCATCTCCGAGTCCCAGACTGCAGGTTATCTGACGGGTGAGTTGTCTCTGAGTAGCCTGTGTTTACAGTAATGCACTTACAATGGAAGTGTGTGGGCGAGACATGTAGACGTGAACAAGCTTCTGTCCCGTGTTAACGTGTAATGTCTATGCTTATGGTTAAAAATGTGTCGGAAGGATAATCTCTTCAGTTGTCTTCATTGCATTACTGCACACTGTTTCTGTGCTTGTTTTTGAGTGGTATTTTCTCATTTTGACATGTAACGAGTGTAGATTGTAGACTGTCTCTTTTGGCTCGTTTCCACTGAGGGGTACGATACAGTACAGTACGGGTCGGGTCGGGTACACCATTATCAGGCTTGCGTTTCCACCGCCAACAGTACCCTTACTTGAAAGGCGTGGTATGCTGGAAAGAAGCGATCAACGTCATTTTCGCGCGAAGAAAGCAACATAGTAAACAACAACAATGGATGGCAGACAGCAGATCTTGTCACTAGAAACAAGCGCTCGCATTAGGCGTTTCCAAGAAGCCAACGCAAAGTCCAACTCAGGAGAATGATCCCGAGGACGCGAGTCCAGTAATGCTGTTATGGAACAGCGCGTTCTTGAACGCGGCACTCTGCTCGCTCGGGCTCTGCGACTCCGGTTATCTCTGTATGTTCATTTTAGGCAACAATACAACGAAATATTATAAAACACCACTCTGCTTCTTTTCGATTCCATTTCAATACATTTTAAACATTCTAAAGCACATAAATGTGGTTCAGGCAACGCATAGCCTATTGATTATCACTGCATGCATGTAAGTTAACCTTATATTTATGACTAAACTAAATATAAAACAACCCGGCCTCTTTTCGTTTAAATTTAAAAATATTAAACATTCCAGGCAATATGTAACGTAATGTATTGCATATCGCATTGGTACAAATGCTGTAATAACAACATTACAGATGATCTTGTAATAGAATAAAAAAAAATGACAACTGTCTCTTTTTGTTGAATTTCAGTTTTATCAATAATAGCCATTATAAAAATATACGTAAAAGGTACAAAATACAGTAAAGCTTAAATAATATCAAGAAACAATTCAGTCAGTCAAATATACAAATTCAGCGCTCAAAGATATGAAACTTCACGTAGCCTGAATTCTGCCAAAACTATTGGCCAGGAAACGAATTATAGATTCACGAGACCAAAGATCACCTGTTAGGTTTATACAAGACGAACTATATCTCATGTTTAACCACTACAGAGACGTCCGAGTCAGCGGCAAACATCAGGATGACTAGCCGAGGAAAGGCTGTTCCCGGCGGGGGACACGAGCGCGAGCGTCCGCTGATCGCTTGGAATGGATCTCAGTCAAATTATCATAAATCTATAAATAAACCACAGATTTGATCTTTAAAAAACTACTTTCTCGCCTGAAAAACTCTTAAAACTACATTTTGTGACACAATAACAGTAGAATTATATTTCAACTGTATATGCTTCTAATGCCCTTGTAGCACGCGCGAGTGACGATACTCCGTCCACCAATCAGCGTTCTGCAGTGAGTCTAGCTCCACCTTTTAGTACCCTTTCACTGTGCTAGGTACCCTAACGAAAGGGTACCCAAAAAGTGGTACGGTACGGTTCGGCTTTTTGGTACTATTTACAACTTTTGACAGTGGAAACGCAAATAATTGCGTACCGAACCGAACTGTACCGTACCGTACCACTCAGTGGAAACGAGCCATTTGTATCAGTACTGATCTGAACTGCTCTTTCGTTCCTCTGCACCTGCTGGTTCTAACATCTGCTTGCTTCCCCTCTACCCCCCCCCCTATACCTCTCTCTCTCTCTCCCTCTCCCCCCCCCTCTCTCTCTCTCTCCCTCCCTCCCCTCTTTCTCTCTCTCTCTCTCTCTCTCTCTCTCCCTCTCTGCTGTATTATCTCTGGGACTCTTCAGGTGTGTCTACTCCTTCTCTCCTGGCCGCCAGTAGTCCCCTGCGCACTGGCCTTTAGTCTCCCACCCTCCTTCTCTTTCACTTTAAAGCAGGTACACTCTCTTTCTGATGGCTTCATCTGTGTTTCCATCTGCATCTCCATCTTCACATGCAGCACTGATGGTGTTTTTCTTCCATTCAAGCGAGTGATCAGTACAAAACATTTCATCCATGTCTGTTATGTTCCAAAAAATAATTTGAATGAAACCGAAGTCTGGATATGGCTTAACGTGATGTTTTAAATCTCAATGGCTGTGATTATTATAAGTGCTGCGTGTTTCAGAGTGAAGCTCACCGTAATCGCTGTTGACGATGACGGCTGTGTTCATTTCCGCAAGCAGCTCCGCAGCGTTTTCAGAGCGTTTCGTTCAAGCGACGGTGTTGACGATGGCGATGTTAATGACGGTGTTGATGGCAGTGATGACGGTGACAAATGGTGTTGACAACGACGACGGTGTCGATGGCTGTGTTGATGGCGGTGTTGACGACGGTGTAAATAAAGTTGACGGGGTTTATGGCGGTGTTGACGATGACAGACGGCATTGACGACGATGACTGTTGACGGCAGTGTTGACGTCAGAGTTGATGATGGTATTGATGATGGCAATGGTGTGACTGACTATTGACGATGACAGCGATGTTGATGATGGTGTTGACGATGACAACTTTTTGACTGACATAGTGGTGTGACTGTTATTATATAACCGTGAAACCGACGGTTATAGTTGAACACTGTCATTAGGACTCTATAACCACCAAAACCGTGTTATTAAAATATCTTGCAGATAAGGTTATACTAATATCAGTGTTGGGGAGTAACGGAATACATGTACTGGTGTTACGTATTCAGAATACAAATTATGAGTAACAGTTGACGGTGGTGATGATGATGATGATGAAGACAGTGATGATGACTGTTGACAATGATGACGGTGTTGACTGATGATGTTGACGATGACGATGGTGTTGGTTGTTGACGACGGTGTTGATGACGACGGTGTTGGCTGTGACTGTGACTGACGATTTTGACGATGTTGACTGACCATGTTGACGACGGTGTTGATGATGATGATGATGATGGTGTTGACTGACTGTGTTGACGATGACGGTGTTGATGATGTTGACGATGACGACAGTGTTGGTTGTTGATGACGGAGTTGATGACGACGGTGTTGACTGTGACTGTGTGACTGACGATGTTGACGATGACGACGGTGTTGATGATGACGGTGTTGATGACGACGGTGTTGATGACGACGGTGTTGACTGTGACTGTGACTGACGATGTTGACGATGACGACGGTGTTGGTTGATGACGACGGTGTTGATGACGACGGTGTTGATGACGACGGTGTTGGTTGATGACGACGGTGTTGGTTGTTGACGACGGTGTTGGTTGTTGACGACGGTGTTGATAATGACTGTGTTGATGTTCAGGTCCTGGAGTGGCAGGCTATCTGACAGCAGGCACCGGCTCTCCGGTCATCCCCAGCGTCCCACCGCCCGTAGACAACGACATCGGAGACCTGGGCTGAATCAGACTGACAGGATCAGACGAAGCCGGACCTGGAGACGGAGACGGACATCTGTCTGGAGCAGCTCCTGATCCTGGAGGACAGCTGATGGACAGAGAGAGGGAACGGAGGGCTGGTCGTCTCCTCTCTCACAACACTCATGCTCTTTAGTGATTCCTTCATTTTAATACATCAACTCTTCTTCCTCTTTCTTTTTATATTCAGTTGCGTCTCGTAAATCTTTTCTTTCCATGGAGAGCAGAATAGTTTACTTTTGTATCGAGATATTTTTATGCCTTTGTTTATTTTCTTCATTTTGAGTGAGCCGATGAATGGATCTGATACGGCGTGGTCTTCGTCTTCCCGCGTCTCGCGTTCAGCCCGTGTCTCAGCCGAAGTCTGTCCTCATCCCAATCCCAATCCTCTGTTTGTTAACATGCAGCCTTGCCGTCGAGAAGGATCCTGTGAAACTGGTCATGATGTGAGGAGCGCACTGTCCTGTTCCCCGCCTCTCTTCCCTCCTTCCCCAGAAAGCACTCGAATATTTATACCTATGATCAAGACCAACTGAATCAGCAGGACAAAGAACAAATTGTACTGACTCTTGATTACAAATGTATGTGAACGACTTGTGCAATTGTGAAATGGTAAATGTAATATGCGTACATAAACTTTCTATATTGAATGTACATTAATAAAAAAAATAATCAGTTGCACTTGTACATAAAATTTTAAGAATAAAAGGGAATCCACATCTGTTTTTTGTCTGTAGTATTTTGTGAACAAGAAGAGATTGCCTAATTAAATTTTCCTGTCGGGTGTTTAGATCTAATAACATTGCAAACCAGAAGATTAAAGTAATGGGCTATATGCACGCATAAGTTCCGCATTTGACGCAAAGATGCTCGTCCATTTCCGGTTGTGTAGATTAAAGCGGAGGAAAACGGGATTATGGCAGTCTTCAATATTTACTGTCCTCCCGTCTTTGAAACGAAACGTTCATGCGTTTAGATGTAATTTTATATATAGTTATGTTTATTTAATATAATTTTAAAAAGAAGCATAAACACAACGAGGGGTGTGTTTTATCTGTTTTTGTGACTAACGTTTCTTTAGTATAACCATGGAGTATAAAATTCAATATAAATTCTCGGTATTGCATTGGACTCTACGATCGGCGGAAGTTATCGAGCATCCTTAATCCTTCACCGGAAATACCGCCGTGCATAGAGCCCATTGTCGTCTCTTAAAGTTGTATTTTTATAATCTAGTTTTTTTCCACCTTATTTGACTGGATTGATTTTTTTTATTTTTATTTTTTATTGTAATGCTTTGCATTCGCTTGCAAATCTTTTGCATTTTCTTGTCCGAGTTCTCCGTTAAACTAGTTTTGCGAACGAATGAAACCTGTTTAATTAAGATAAATGTAAATATGATAAATACCAGTTTGCAGCATAATGACTGGCTATGTGCAGTTAATTAAATGTAAATGATGGACACTGAAGCTTTGCACATTCAATTAAAAAAATTCGCTCTTCGGTTAAAATAAGGTGGACACAGAGAGGGTCGTAGGTGATGTTTGATGCATTTTATTGTGTCTGCATTGCAGTGCTTGTCCTCACGAGGGCGACAGATCCTCATATTACAGCCTCTGCTACTCATAACAAGCAAAAACATTTAGAAGAACAAATCCACAGTGCCTCATGGCGTCAAAGGATTTGTTCTTCTAAAGAAAGTGCCTCATGTCATCTATAATGCCCAAGAAATCTTGGTTTAATTGTGCATCATTTAATGCTGTCTAGCATCAGAAGTCGTTTGGTGTGGTGTAGGCGTTTTGCTGACTATATTAAAGTGCTCAGACTGTGTGTTTCCTCGGACAGTCCCGTCAGGTGCTGGAGGACCCGTTCATTCTTCTGTTATTGTGACTCATTCAGAGCTCAGATCCGTCAGATCCAGTGTTCCCTGTGGGAATGAGTCAGATTATGCGTGCATATAGCCCATTACATTGTCTTGTTGCTCCCTTCATCAAGTGCGCTCAAACGGCTACACAGTTAGCAATTGATGTAATTTTTACAGGAAATTTTACAACAATGTATTGTATTTGTGTTTTACCTGTAAATGGCAATGCACCATGGGAAATTAATGGGCAGTCCTGTATTATTATTGTAATTTCTCTGTATTCACGGAGTTTTACAATGGTTTTACAGCCACCGCGTTGCATCATGGGATCATCGCGGTCTGAATTTTGAATTTTTAGGCGGTTAGTTCGAAACAAACATTCTGGGAGTAAGCCGTCATTCAAGAAGACGGAAAAGAAGCAATTCTGGGACGAAGGTAAGTTATCTTCACGTTATGTAATTTACTGTTACCCTTAACGTTACACATGTATTTTTATATCGTAAATAAAACGTTATTAGTTCTGCTTATCTGAGTGGATGGTGACGGTTTCGTCTGCTTTGATTAGATAACATAAAGTCAGCTGTCCCCTTGTGGTTTAGCTAAATTGGATTAACGTTAGGTGATTTTATGATGCGTGTCTTCCATCAGTCCATTGAAATCAGGTACGTTACTGGTAACGTTAATTGCTAACATTTGCAACCTTGTTCTTCACAAATTGATGCTATTTTAATCTGCCTGAAGTAACGTCAATATGGTTCTTTCACTGTTTGGATGGATTGGCTAGCTAGCTCGAATCTCATTTAGGGCTGTCAACGAATATTCTAAATTCGAATATATATTCAAAAAGTTTTAAAAACTGAAAAGGAATATTCGAATGTGGAAAAACGCCCGCGGTAGCGCGGCTGTCTGCTTTCCGACTGGGCGCGGCGCGCTGTTGCCTGGTATAACCATAGACTGGGTATAACTTAGTTATTGCATGATAGGTTTGATAAGTTACAACAGTTTCATGCGCTGCAGGCTTCCACTGGTTTGATTATTTACTGTTTCAAGCCAAGAAAAAGTTCCAAGCTCGCTCGGAGCGTTCAATATCGTTTCTCTATACTGCAAAACTTGCATTAATGTTAATAATATTTATTTCAGTCACCCAATGAAGCCAGCTAACGTTAAGGGACAAGAGTCGCGACCTTAAATTGCTTGCACAAAACTCTTGATCAGCACACAACATTTATTTATTGTTGTTCGTTTAAACGTTATGCAGAGAGTGGTGAGGGTGAACACGAGAGAAAAAGAGTGAGTGCGAGCGAGCGAGAGTAAGGTCTGCTCTGTGGTCTGTTGATTTACTTGTTTTTGTGCTAATGTATTGTTTATTTGAACTTAAATAAACTACCTATACAAGTAGTTATGGCTCTCTGTATGTATTTGTCCTGTTATTGAGGTAAAGCGCGTCATGGGCCTGTTCTCGCATTTCAGTGAGCTGACCGAATTCCTATCCAGGAGAAGCTGCCAGATGCCGTAGACAACAGGAGTCAGAACATCATAGTACTTCCGACAGCAGAAGACAGCAGGAGTGGGGAAGGTTCTGGAGGCTTACAATGAAGAGCGTGGCAACAAAGCTATCTGCACACGCCTGCTCACTTCAATTATGCCTGATGTGAGTATAACTTGCAGTGCATACAAATAAATTAACCATTCCCTCACTTCCATCTCTGTCCTGTTATTTTGTAATTGTTATAATAATAATTAATTAATAATTCATCACATTTATATAGCGCCTTTCTGGACACTCAAAGCGCTTCACATAGAGGGGGGGGATCTCCTCAACCACCACCAGTGTGCAGCTCCACCTGGATGATGCGACGGCAGCCATACTGCGCCAGAACGCTCACCACACACCAGCTTACTGGTGGAGAGGAGACAGTGATGAAGCCAATTGGTGTATATGGGGATGATTAGGAGGCCATGATGGACAGAGGCTACTGGGCAAATTTGGCCAGGATGCCGGGGTTACACCCCTACTCTTTCCAAAGACATCCTGGGATTTTTAATGACCACAGAGAGTCAGGACCTCAGTTTAACGTCTCATCTGAAGGACGGTGCTCTTTGACAGTATAGTGTCCCCATTACTACACTGGCGCATTAGGACCCACACAGACCACAGGGTGAGCGCCCCCTGCTGGCCTCACGAACACCTCTTCCAGCAGCAACCTGGCTTTCTCAGAAGGTCTCCCATCCAGGTACTAACCAGCCTCAGCCCTGCTTAGCTTCAGTGGGCACCAGTCTTGGGCTACAGGGTGATATGGCTGCTGGCTATAGTGAGTATAGTGGTTATAGGGATAGTTCACTTTGAAATTAATGTTTGATATGTTTTATATTTTACCTCAAGGGTATACAAGATGTAGGTGTCTTTGTTTCCACAGTATTTTTAATTTTGACATTTTTCAGTCAAACCATTGTTGTCTGTCAGTCATATAATGCAGGTCTATGGTCACCACCTCAAAGAGCAGCACAGAGAAGTCCAGATTAAACATGATTTAATGACTCGTAAATGTAAGTACACATTGATGGCCTAAGACACGAAACGAGCGGTTTGTGTGAGAAAATGAACAGTATTTATATCGTTTTTACCTCTTGAAACCACAGCCACGTCCAACTGAACCGAACTGAATCGTGTCCAACGTCCCGCCAGAAGTGATCTCTCTCGTGTGTATGTCACTCATTGTTTACACAGAGATTTCGGAAGTTTTACCTTTCACTGTGAAGATCTAAACATATTTAGATGTACAGGAAATCATAATGGAAGACGATTTCGATATAAATATGTTTAGTGAAAGGTAAAACTTCCGAAATCTCTGTGTAAACAATGAGTGACGTACAGGCGCGAGAGAGATCACTTCCGGCGGGACGTTGGACACGATTCAGTTCGGTTCAGTTGGACGTGGCTGTTGCTACACGAGGTAAAAACGATATAAATACTGTTTGTTTTCTCACACAAACCGCTCATTTCGTGTCTTAGGCCATCAGTGTGTACTTACATTTATGAGTCATTAAATCATGTTTAATCTGGACTTCTCTGTGCATGCTCTTTGAGGTGGTGACCATAGACCTGCATTATATGACTGACAGACAACAACGGTTTGACCTAAAAATGTCAAAATTGAAAATACTGTGGGAACAAAGAAGACACCTACATCTTGAATGCCCTTGAGGTAAGATAAAACATATCAAACATTAATTTTAAAGTGAACTATCCCTTTAATTACCAGAAATCAATCACCAGCCCCATCCTTTGTCATGGACACTTTGCACAAGTTCTAATTCTAGTTTTCCATTCTCCGAGGCAGTCAACGCACAGGCAGACATTGCTTGAATATTGGACCTTGGCTGATTGGTTTATCACGTTTAGTCCCATCCACCCCCAGGGGATTTTAATTTACTATTTTATTGATGTGGCATCCATATAAAAAAAAAAAAAAAGATTTGCCATATGCAGCTGTTTCTACGTTTGGCACCATAAATCGAAGCTGATTTCCCCCTTGGTGTTGAGTAGAACATTCCAGCTTTTGGGGCAAGTTTTCTTTGTCGTTTACTCAACTTACCCATGGTTAACTTTGTTAATGTTAATGTTTTTTTTTTCTCCAGCCCTCTGCCATGGCTGCTGATATTGAGAGAGCTGTCACCCTGCCAAGCACACCTCGGTTAGTTGTCCCAGGTATAATCTTCCCTTATTTTGTAAAAGTTAATTCTTTATTGAATTCATGTGTTTGACGGAGGACTGTTGCACCTAAAAACATAATTTATTTGAGTTGTTGATGGAGGGTGTACGGGTCAAAGGAGATAATAATGTTGAAGTGGAGGTGTGGAAGTCTTTCTACTGAATTCATCTAGGTGGCAATAGTGTGTTGTGCAGCTTTTAGTTATCATATTGTTAATGTGTTTCAGGAGAGATATCTCGGTGGAAGGAGCGTGTGTGATGGGGCGCCACAGTAACCTCCTGCATGGACTGGCAGCAGTCTTCGCTGCATACTTTGTCTTCAACTTGCAATATCCGGCAGAAGCCTCAAGCTCACTTGAATTCCTTCAGAGGTGAGTTTAAACATGGCACTGTCATGAAAATGATTATAGCAATTATGGAGGTATATTTGATTTAAATCAACTGAATGCCTGTGACAGTGCGATTTGTAGTTGTAGAGAAAATCCACACATCACACACACACACATCAAGAAATGTGAAGTTGTGGAGAAATTTTGCACATGCTCAAATCAGTATGTGAATTTACCCAAATAATTTCATCATTTCATAAAGTTCATATACGTTTATGAAATGAAATGCACAATTGTATTTTAAGTTCACGCTGAAACTATATTTTTCTTTTTTTAAATAATCAATTAAACTTGCTGAGAAATGATTGTGTGAACTAAAATGAGCAGTATACATATACAAGACATATACAAGAAATATTCTTCAAGGTTGCAACTCTCATTGGATGAATTCACATACTGATTTGCAGATGTGCAGAAATTTCTCCACGACTTCACATTTCTTGATGCTGGTGTGTAAATGCGTTTCACACCAAATCACTGCAGCAACAAGTTCATTAAAGGGATAGTTCACTTTGAAATTAATGTTTGATATGTATTAGCTTACCTCAAGGGCATCCAAGATGGAGGTGCCCACCCCAAAGAGCAGCACAGAGAAGTCCAAATTAAACATGATTTAATGACTCATAAATGTAAGTACACATTGATGGCCTAAGACACGAAACGAGCGGTTTGTGTGAGAAAACGAACAGTATTTATATATATCACAGGTCACAGGTCACAGGCACTGCAACTGATCTAACTCATCTCTTACCAATGTGATGCATATGATGGTCAAAGATAGTATTTTGTTCATAATTTTATTTATATTACGTAATGTGATTTAATGTAATTTATACAGCACTGTATGCAACAGATGCTTTAAAACAGCAGTTTTACAGAATCAAACATGAAAACAGTGTCAGTCTCTTTCAGCTTCAGTTTCTCTCGGTGTGTTCATGTTCTTACTCACGACCGACTGAACAGATGAACACCTCAGAGAAGGCGGAGCCTCAGAGCCACACCCACCTATTACATCATCACCACACGGACCAATGGGAGCTCAGAGGCGTTTATCAGCCAGAGCAAACTTTTCCTTTTCAAACTCCAGAAATGACCTCCAAACAAACTCCGTTTTGGCCTGATTTAGTTGGTAATGCCGTCACACCAGTTCAGTTCATCTCCAGCAAACACCAGCTGATCTCTGTGGTAAACTGGTAAACTGGTGACTCACGGTCGGGTGACTACACTGTGCTGGTGCTGAAGAGTCGCTCGGCTGTCTTTGGACATCGACAGGTCTGAGTGATACAGAATATGGACCACGGTTCAAAAGCAACCCGATGATCACACTGGGCTAATGGTGACACGAGCGGTGGGCTCTGGAAGTGAAAATCTGTTATTTTCTCCTCAGAGGACTTGGTTTTAATGATATCAATGTGGGAATCTCCAAAACATCAGTACATTAATTGTATTTTCCATTGAAGGTGAAGATGATGAAAGCCTCGTTTCTGTCAGGTTTCAGCAGTTCCTGATCTCCATGTTGGTATAGCAGCTCATGTCAGTGATGGGTTCATGGCTAGTGTTTGTGTCTGCCTTCTCCCGGGACCGATGTCATTAGACACAGGTGGAGGATTACGACAGCGTTGGGATTCATGTAACTGTGCTTATGAAACATCTGTCTTGCGCCTCTGCGGAAATAAATCAAAATCCCGCAATAACATCTTTATCATCTTTAATCACTAGGAGAAAAAAAAAATCAAATTCAAAGTACACCTTTTTGATGATGCATATTCGAGCAGATGAGGCCAGAATATCAACACAACGCAATAACTTTCTCAGGAATTTTCTATGGGAAAACAATAGAGAATCTGTTGTGTTCATGTCCTGCGTTCACCCGCTCTCCTGCACTATATGTTTTATTAATAAGGTGTACACTGAATTTGGTCTTATAATATCATATGACAGGCGGTCAGCGAAGGAAAGCCTTGTTTTTCCCTCCAGGTCGTTCCTATAACGTCATGTGAAAACCATCAACATGTACAATAAATAAAAATCCCATTCATTTTCTCGAGGAATGTTTAAGATTTCTGTACAAAGCTTTAAGATCATAGGTTATATGCTTCTGTTCAGGTCCACTCCATACTTTACTGTTGCTCCATATCAAAAACTATAATGTTGAAATTCATCACACAACCTATGAATTCTGCGTTGAAGAATGTTGAAAACCCCAAATAAACCCAAAGTGAGTCCCAGTTGTGCTGTACTGAGGCGTATTGTGTAAAGCGGTTCAGAGAAACATCTTCAGAACCACCATGACAATCTGTGTGTGGACAGCTGACAACTCATATAAATGTTAGAAATGGATGGCTGAAAACATGCTACAAATACTGCGCACTATAGTAGTGAATTGTGGAGTTTAACATGAGATTGGCTGAACCTGTGTGTCCCCTTTAAAAACTGATTTATTGCATATTACTTTAGAGATTACCAGTGATCCGTCTTTTCTTTCCACCGTAGCAAAATTGAAAATGTCCTGGAAAATGTTTGCTGAAAAAGAGTGGGAACTCTGGTTTTGTGTGTTTGAACGTTACGTGTGTGTTGATGAGACCGGGCCGTTCATACTTCCGTCTGTTAGTTATAAGAACTGATCCAGAACCACGTTAGCAGGCATAGGTGCTGTCATTACGTTTATCAGGAGCATCTGCTGAACAAACGCTTCTGGATTGTGTTTTTCTGTAATAAAGAAGCAGAAAGCGTGATTAGACGCTGCTCTCTCACTAATTACATGGCAACAAATGAGCTGCCAATCACTCGAGGCCATTGTTTGTGCTTATCAGAAGATCCCATCAAGTCGAGCCAATTAAAAGTCTGGAACGAGACAGGCGGTGGTGGGAACATGTCCTCCCCCTTTACTTAATTCATGATTGCTAATTAGAAGAAAACGGTTTGTTGTGCTGGAAAATCTGTTGGATGAAATTAACATTTTTCTTATTAGATTGTGAATTGTTTGGTTCCTTTTCTCTTATGCTGTTTAATTTGGAGGCAATATGAACATAAAGCGGTTCGGGACATTGAGTGGCACTAATGAACTTAATCAATGGAACTGATGGACTGTTTTAATCACTTGAGTTTTGCATGTTTTACTCCACAAGCATGAAAAGGAAACATGAGGCGTTTTTGAGGAACCGTTGATCCCGGCCGGATGTAGATTAACCTGACCAGAACGTCCACTGAGTTTCAGACGGGATCAACATTAAGCTGGTCTTCCCTCCGCTTTTGTAACACTGATGTTGCAGATTATAATTAATAACTTGTAATTGTTTGCATTTAAAAGTTGTTTTGGATAAAAGCAAATGCTGAATGTAGATGGACCATATAACGTATTGTTTGCTAAATCTAAAAACGTAAAAGATTTGGTGATTATCGTGTTCTTCAAATCCCTGACTTTCTTTCTTTGAGGAATGAAACATGATGAAGTACAGTAGAGCCAGTGGGGTCGAGTCTCACACACCATTAGTGCTCTCTCTCTCTCTGCTATTGATGGCCTAATTAAACCCAGCCGGCCTGAAGTGGGGCTCGTCGTTAATGCCAGGAAATTGATAGTCCACATTAATTTCCACTGTCTCGTGTGTGTGTGTGTGTGTGTGTGTGTGTGTGTGTGCTCTATCATGATTTCTACTCAGATCCAGGTCCATCACCAACACTAATGATCATGATGTTATATGTCATAGACTTTAAAACCACAGAAATTGTACCCGATAAATCTAATATCTGATTCAAGTGCACAAATGCATTTTTATTTCACTGCTTTGAATCTAGATTGTCTCTTTGTTATTTTCCATTTGATTTTCTCCATCGGTTTTTCTAAACTCAAACATGTTCCAGCCTAAAAAGATAGTCTTTTAACTCTTCAACAGGCTAAATGAGCGGGTTATGTGATTCTGTCTGTCTCAGCTGGACTGGAAGAGCGAGACGTCTCCGCTTCTGCTGGGAATCTCAGATGAGATGTGTCTGAAACCGAGGAGGGCGACTCTGTTCGCTTCCGTCACGAGGGCTTCATGCTCACTGCTGCTTTCTCATTCACAACCCGTAAGTCAGTCAGAATATGAAGAGTCTGAGAGTATGCAGCGGATTTATTGATTGGTTTCTCCTGCAGATTTTGTGGCTTCCGACAGTGTCATTCATCAAATTTGGCCTCGATGTTCTTTTGTAATGCAAACGCATGTTTAGATGGAAGGGTGTTTGTTGAGGAGCTCTTGATGGCAGATAGATGGATGGTTAACAGTCATGTTCTGAGCCGAACGGCTGAATTATGAGCTCTGGAAGGAAAGAGTGTTGTGCGTTTCTTTAACAGAGCTGATCTTTCCAATCTCAGCTTAATGTTGTGTTAGAAGTCATCTATCAAATGAGTCAAGAAACATCATGCTTCACTAGATTCTCCGAAAATCCTGAGGGTGTAAAAAATGTGTTTCATGCCATATTCAGTGTATATTCATACTATGCAATACTTCCTGAAGATATCACAAGGTACGTAGCAAACCTCCGACGCACTGATGGAGTCGAGGGCGAACAGGTAAAGGATCCGGATAGTTCAATCTCTTCCAAACTGCAGGTAAACCGAATAATCAGGGTCGCAGGTTCAACGGCTCATAAAGACAGAGATTCGTCAGAGAATAATTACCTAATCATTTAATTGGAGTCTTACACACAGGTACAGTTAGTCTAGCCGTGCATTAATTTCAAGAGGAGGGTCTGCATGAAAGAGCCACGACTGGCAGATCAACTTCTTCATTTCTCTCTGATACGGAAGGAAATGAAATGAAATGCGGAGGATGTTCACTGTGAGAAGATGATTGACAGCTCAGTCTACAGTGACAGGGTGTGTGTAAATATGCCACAGATCGTCTGTTAAAGACACGACTTTATGACGTGAGAGTTTGTCCCAAACACTCTTCTGGTACACACTCAAACGAATGTGTTTCTTCCTTCACAAAACAAGTATATAC